GTTCGATATAAAACAGCATATAATAGGAAGAGGGCTTTTGATAGATCAAGAAATGACCGGAGCGATAATTATATTTACTGTTTCTTAAACGCTTCTTTTCTCACAGTTTCATCGAAGTTATTATGAAACCGCTCAGTCGGTTCAGAAGTTAAATCTTGTCAATTAGTTTTTTCAATAGAAAAATATAGAGTCTATACAAGAAAGCCCAGTTTCAATGGGAACTTCAGTTGCTTAGTGGGCAGATTCTAACGTGTCGCGATACTCCGATGTCACAAAAACATCACGTATCGATTAGAGTAATGCTTCGGCAGAGTCTGACGACCTTTACGTTCTAGAACATAAAGAAGTGGACATAAAAAAAGACAAAGTTACCTTGCTGGCGCGACGTTGTGCACCTTAACAATAACTGTTATCTCGACTGAGTTGCATTGAAAAAGGGTTCCATTGTAAACAGACGGTACTTCTAAATACCGCAATTGGAACTTTATCGAGGCTAGGTTCATTGTATCTAGGATAAAAGTCGGGGTATGCTTTTCGTACAACGAGTACTTCGAGAGGCAATTCTTATTTCAAATATTTCCCAAAAATCTAAACCAGATCGACTTTAAGAAGAGTCAGGATGCAGCTACTGCCTTAAAATCTTTATCTTATTGTGCACAAAGTGTATATTTCATGTTGAAGAACTTCCCTTACATCAGTAATGGTGCAATATGGTAAAGTAAGATTAAGTATAATCAAAATGGTTTTAGAGGACTATCAGCCAGATCGGAACGTCAATCAAATGGAAAAAACATGACGTATTTTACTAGTTAGGTGGTGCACTTCTAGCCGCTGGTGTCCACACTCTCTACTAGCTGAACGTTCACGTCACCCGTACCCCTTGCTACCGAACTGGGCGCCCTCTAGCTTTCTTTGCACTATGATAGTCGTCGACGCCGTTACTCGGGCCCAAATAAATTTAGTTATAGCACATCAGCTCCGATTAACACGTTTGCTCTGTGTTTGTGTGTCTTTGTCATCACCTCTAGGACCCGAATAGTAAAAGCTCTCCGGCTGATGCTCGACAAAAATTTTCAGCCAAATATACGCCCCTAATACAAATGAAATTTATTTTATTCAGTTCTCGAGTTGATTTTATTCGTTTGTTCAATACTTGGGCTGAAGCATTCTAAAATAGAGATCAAAAAACAATACACGTCGATAGGAAATGGCTTCGAAGCTGTTTCACTTTAAGAAACGCTGAAGGAAGATTACTACCACCAATTCCACTAGCGTCTATCGTACTTCCGGCCATATAAATGATGCAAAGCCGGCTGAGTCCCTTCTGCTCACCGGGACAAGCTGTAGCTTCTCTTGCTGGACATGGAATAGGCACTCTTAGGCGGATTCTCGAAGCTTCTCCGTAGGAGGCAAGGATCCTGAAGCACTCCGTCTACATCGGTGATGACCACGGCATTGGAAAGTGCATTTACTCAAAGGAAGAAATCCACCGACTAAAGCAAAACAACCTTACCGGGCCTCCGTGGACCGCCGCTACGGTTTAGACATGCTGCCGAACATACCTAGTGGTTAGCGCCACCATCGTTTCTGCTCTGACCTATCGTCGAGAATCCCGACGCCAAGCAGACAGCAGAAATGTCAGCACCAGCAGAAGAAACTGGCAAGACCAAAATCTGCTTGAAATTCGGGACACTAACGGTTGGAAAACGTGAATAATGGCGAAAGGAAGGATACACAAAAGCGGAAAAATCGCCGACTTTCAGCTGGTTGGCGTCCATTTCACGGACCCACAAAGATCTAACCGACAGAAAAGCGGCAGCAGTAATAAAGGCGGCCTTTTCACATATTTCCACTTGTTGAGCTCTTAGCGCGTTGACGTATTATTGACAGAAGTTCGCTACGTGAATGGACCCTCTTCCTTTCGGTTCGATATCCAGGATTAGACAGGCAGATACAAATAGTTATAGAAATGGTTTGAATTGGTTAATATTTACCCTTCTGAAAATTCGATTCGGTGTAACAAGGATCTGCCGGTATAAATGTGGAACGGGACAATGCGCTAAGCCGTCAACAATTTGCAGAAAACATTGTACCTAAGGCGATATCTGACGGGCCCGCTTGTTTGTCAGTGTTTTGTTAATTCATCAAATTCAGATATTTAACAGTAATTCATGCTTCGAATGCTTAATACAATTTCAAAAGTACCGGGTTATTGCTATGCTTGTCTCCCATCACCGCTGAGACTGATTGTTGTCATTGCAATTTTTACCCAGATCACTGACAGCCCGAAAAGTTCAGCTACCAAAAACGATCTACCTCGCTCCGATTTCATAGACTGTGCTGTTATAGGCGAGTAGCATCCACAATAGGACGTGGCCACTGAAATTGGTGATTTAAATCAGTTGTCCTGAATTTATTTGGTAATCATAAATCATAAGCAGATGATTTAACTGGAAACATATCCTACGCACCGGTACCAAATAAATCGGTATTAAAAAAAGGCGGTTTTATAAGTAGTTTAAATGGCTTGCATCGTCAACCTTATCAAGAGCTTTAATCCGGTTGAGCCTAGTTCTCGACCTTCACTTTGCAACACCTCAGGTGCTGTGCCGCGTATAGGAGTGACAAAGAATCTATTGAGCTTCTATTCGCGTGTTGCTATTGCCTGGTTCCAACACATCCAAAACATGTTTTTCATTCTATCGATGCGCGTACGATTTCGTAGCCAGTAATGGATATAGGATTCCAGCTAAACAAAAACGTTTCTGGTAATTAAATTTTATACATTTAGGTACTGATGACGGTTAGCAGAAAAAATTAATCAGGGCAATTGGCTTTAATAATGGCCAGGAAACTTAATATTATTACCATTAAACTAATTAACAATAAATGTGGTATAGACTGTGTGGTCCGCCTTGGCCTATTTTCATCCGATCTATTTTATTCTATTCTAGAGTTGCACCGACATTAAACGTTGACATATGAATATATGCTCTATCTCAGCGTTTCTGTAAGACTTTTCCAATATCGAATTTTTCGTCCTCGACTTCCGCAACAAACGTGCCGAAAATAGCATTATAAACAAAAGTATCGATACAGGCTTAATCCTAAGGTCTCCTTTATCCCAAGGAGTCAGTTCGTGTGTAATGCATCCTTAATATCCAAGGATGAAGTCTTACACTCTGCGATGATAAATAGGAACTAAAAAAAAAAAAAACTAAAAAAAATAAATTTAAGAAATTTATTTTTTTCTATTCTTAGGTCGCTATTTACTCCGTCGTTGATATTGTTGTACCTCCATAAAGCACTCTAGTTTTACAAGCGACTTTTCAAAAGCGCATTCAACATCTAACATACGTAAGACTTTTGGCCAATCCAAATTTGCGGAAGCGTCTAGTTCCGTCTATATAATCATATATGAAATATGTATACATATAATCATATACATATACTTTGTTGATGGATTTCGAAGAAGTGTATTCTTATTGCATTGACAATGCATACGTTATCGTGAACAGTTAGTAACATGGAAAAATATAGATGTTTTCACAGAATAATGATAATTTATAGATGCAACACGATCGCGCTGAAAAACTCTACAGGACTCCAATAGATTTCAGCTAGCAATAGGACATGGTAAAAACGCCTAAAAAACGCACTTATGCCAATATCCTGCATAATCTGCTACGCATTGTTAACTTAGCGATATTCTTACGTAGCAGCAGTGTGTATGACAGGCATTGCATTTCCCATTTGCGAACGGTTAGTTAACGGCCTGAATAAAATAGGTCATGTTGCATTTTTGCAGAAGGCTGGTACGGGCAACTCTCCGCGTATGTCCTGCAGACAGTGTGTGCTCGTGATTCCGGATGGAAGCCATATACCTACATACATACATACAAAGTTTGAGTAAAAGCGCAACGTGAATTTTCGGTAAAACATTAGGGTAATTCCGAAAGCCGTAATATCGTTGTTTTATGAGTAACAGAAACCGAAATAGGTAAAAGAACTGGGAACGCATTCTTTTAGAGTGGCGCTTAGCTACACCCAATGACAGGGTACTGCTTCCATTCGAAGCCCAACAGAACTCGGAATGGGCAACAAAATGACATAAAGCTATGACAGCGCCAATAGCGTATTGAATAATTAGCGAATAAAAAATATGTATATACAGTTAAATACAGGAAAAACGGAACTTTACGCATCATGCTAAACACAATACGTTAGCGTTGAACTGATCTTAAGAGCCATATTGGAAAAAAGACGTTGTCTAAGATAGGCAGCCTCTATTAGGTATGCATTGTAAAATAAAGAATATTTAAGTTCTGATCTTTGTAGCCATATATTCTTCCTACGAAAACTTGAAGTTGCGTCCGTTTTAGTGCCACATATGAAGTCAACAATACGTTGACCTACTTTCAGTATGTGTGACTGAAAGACTTCTATAACATAAAATAGCGCTACGTACCACTGGGTCATGGGTACAGATATTTTAGAGAACTAGAGTTTCTTCTATAAATATCGCTACTGTTGAGGTATTGATGTCTGTATTTTTTATGTTTCCTACTTAATGGATGTTGAACTATAAAACAAAAATGTATAAAACAGATAGATAGCTGTTCAATATAGCCTTGTGTATATCTTTCTAATTTGTAGTACAACATTGACATGACTATAGTTTTAATATCTTCAGAACGTGTATGTGGCTATGATTTACCATTGTGCGCTAATGGAACTTTAGCTTACTTACCTCAATGCTCTTTAGAGCACTTTTAAATGTGTGACTTAAACCTCAGCTTAAGCCGTGTAAGTACGATACAGCTAGCTTGTTTGCTTTCAGGCTAAGCCCACCTTTCCTAATTGCTCCAGGCTTCATCTCAGCTTCCAATTCAGTAATCTTTATCCGTGTTAAATATTCAATGACAACAATGCTTTGCCGGACATACGACTAACACATCATTCCTTTGATGGTAATTCAATAGTTCGCTTTTTCTGTTCCTTAAAAACCGCATTAGGTTTCCGGATCATCGATCCATATTGTGTTATTAGAGATAATTATTATGTTCACACTTTAACCCCTCACAATAACACTTGCTCCAACGAAACTATGGTCCAATGCTCTGTCAAGACGAGCTTGGCCATCGAGCGAAGCCACTTCGAGAATTAAACCATCGTACGGAGCTAAATGAATGCATCCTGTTGTTTGGCTATTGCTCATGGCATTTGCTTTTTTCAAAAAGTGATGCTTTTACAACTTTCCCTGTCAGTGCCTGTCGTGTGACCGCAAGACCTAATAATAAATGGTTGGATTATTTGCAAGTACGCAGAACGACACTGGAGCCAACAGCGAGATCAAGATAAAACTGGATCCTTGTATACGCGACCGTGTTTTATGCCAGCTGGTTTCTCGAAGTAAAAGTTGTGGCGGAAATGAAGTTAATTTGAGTGGCTAAAAGAGGTAGCCAAGGGCCGCCATCACTCGTAATGTTCTGCTTGCTGCCCTAGAAGAATGACCATTTCTTCAGAAATGCAAACAATAGCGGCGTGTATATCACCGTTCAAACTGATACCAACATGAGCAAAGAGCAATACTTATCATAGCTTGACTGTTTCATTTCCATATTTCTTTGATTGTGCTCACCTTAACTTAAGACTAAAATCAACCCGTCGCGGAGTCACCTGTAACCACAGACAACATCGGTACGTTCCTAACGCATTTACCTTTCCGAAATGTTTCCAAATACGGCCGTCCTATTACGTGCCATTGTGTCCTATTCGGTTAGTGACAATAACTGCCCATTGCATAATACATACAAAACCGATTCGTGCGGTACGGGGAACGCTTGGATATTTGTTTTTTAGTTGTACACATTGTTTAAGCAGGAAACAAATAAATTATGGGCTGTTATGGGCGCAATTTGCCGTTGCATCGTTATTTATTGCCGTTGCATAGTTTACAATTACTACCGAACGATAAAGAGATCCGCGTCGAATCATCAGAAAGGCGTTCAGGATATTGGATATGTCCGATATTGGAACAAATATGGACATAAGATTCACTGGATCAAGCCCTTGTCATTACCGAATGTTTCCGTTGTTAACTTGACGCGGAAAATTAAGTCGCACAGAAGCTGTCTAGTATTTTATTTGTGCCTTCGAAGACTTGGATATGGCCCCATGAATAGATAAACCTTCTCCTCATTTGTGGGTGCCTAGTGATACAGTTCATTATCATTGTACCTCCGAAACAGACGAATGTAGCCAGCAAGGGGAATCAGGGAAATTTTGGATTTATGCTGATTCAGCTTTACGGCCTTTCGCCGCATAGGATAGTTCTGTTTACCGCTAAACGAATTATTGCCAACGATGACAACCTGCAGCCTTTCACCACACCTCAGAATCTACTATACAACTATCGCTTTGCGACAACTCCCATTCTTCAAAGTTCTTGAATACATACAGATAATATAGCAGTTTTTATGCAAATAGACGAATCGTTCAGAAGTAAGTTGTTATGTGAGGAAAACTCGTTATTTTACTTACATGTACCTTTGAGTGGAATATTTAAATGTACCTAAATTTTATATAAAATGTACCTTGGAATATTGCAGACATTAGGAAAGGCTTTCTTTTCATCTATTTATCTATTATTTCAGAAACAGTAATCTTATGATTACGTGCTTACTCTGGAAAATTTTAGCTATTTTCAATTTTTTTTGGGTATTACGAAATTCTACTACTCAGGCATATTGAAGCAGCCGCTGATGTACAAGCAACGCGTACCCTTCTCAATCCGTCGCCTGTCAAGTGACCTGTAAAAAAGAATAATAATCAAACAATTATCACCATTAGATTTCGGCGAAGAACTTAATGGACATACAGATGGTAAGACACGGGTGTTTTAGCGTCGGCGTCTTGAACTTTCACCAATCGACTCGTATCACGCGTGCTCTGACCATGTCACAAGCTCAAAATACCAGCTACAAATAATATTTTGCACTCGAACTTATCCCGGCAACGCCCTTCGAATTACGGAACCGTTCAATGGAAGCGAAAGTTTTAAAACGTTTAAAAAACGGAAAGCCAGACAACGTCTTCCTCCATATTCTACCCAGTATGTAGTTCCTTTGAAAATAAATGCAACCCGCGCAGGACCTGGCATAGCCTAAATAACGATGCTGCCAGTTTCGAATCGAAATTTGATGACTCACATTAACTTTAACATAATAAATATGACACAGAAGTAACGAGCTCTTCGTACCACTGAACATTCGAATATAAACTAGCTCTATGAATTAATGTGGTTTTTTTAAGTTCAATAAAAATTAATCTCGAGAGACTACTGAAAGCTCCTATTACGAGCTTCAGATTATTATTTTTACACTCATATTGCAATCGCTCTAACTAAGGCTAATATCATAACGCATTGGGCCACTTTCAGGACCCACATCATTGAATAATAGGTTCATACGTGTGACCGCTTTGGCCCGTGGCGTAATAACCTGAAAGGAAGACATATCATCCAAGTTAAAAAGTGGCATTTTGTTTTATTTGATACTTGCGCTCGATATCCAGAGGACGTCAGTGATGCGTTGACGGGAACTGTAGCCAAGCGGAAGCAGGTCGATCACGATTCACTGGCTAGCTGAATGAGGAGTGTTACATCGGGTAGTTCCTTCATCGAAAAAGTACGGTCTAGCTTATATTGTACATTATGGGACTGAATATATATGGTTCAATCGAAAGTTATATATTAGTAAAATGAAGGCGCCGATAATTTGGTCGTTCGGCGTCCCAATTAAATGTGGTTTGTTGAGGGAGATGAAGAACATAGGATATTGTTTGTGAAACGCTATCTTGTTTGTTTCTTGATAAGCTTCATCGGGACGACTTGCTTTCTTCTGTGTATTTGTTATTGCTTGGGGAGTCGCTAACAGTAATTTCATTAGCTAAGTCATTAGGCAGAAATATTCCGAATTACCGTTGAGGTAACTGTCTTTGAACGATAATTTTTTTATAACATATTAAATTTTAGTCGAACAAAGATTTTTTCTTATCCCCTCAATACTGCAGTTGTTTGTCTGCTAGCCTTAAGGATATGTGAGGTTGGTTGGGTTCGAAACCCGGCGGAGAAGCATTTTATTTCAACTTATGAGCCAACAGTTTGAAGCAGTACTTTGCTACGCAGTGTTTGACGTGCTATTTGAAACATCTATTTATTAAGTATATTTTCCGTTATTAGATTTCGGTGTTAGGCCTACTGGTTGGATCTGGAAAAAGATAAAGAGATGTCTGACATAAAGTATGATTTAACTGAAACAAACGCGCGGGGATGCTCTGTTCTATAGCCGGAAGCTTCTCTAGATTCACTATGCGTGATGCATGCCACCTTTTTCATTCACTGCGGAGCTCTCGATTTCCCAATTTACAATGATACGCGAACTGTATACACTTTTTCTCGTTGTTGGAATTGTACGCAGATGCCAAAGCTGACTGAAGTTTTGTTTTTTCCGGACCAGCGCGTTGGAGGCCGTCGGAACACGCTTGAAAAGGGAAGAACGCAGAGGGGCATAGTAGTAAATGCGTGATCTGCTGGCTGACTTCAAAGGCTAGAGTCGACGGAGTGGGATTTAGGTTCGTTGGGGCAACATTAGTGACGACGACAGCAGCGACGCCAATTGCGACAATCGACAGATAGGATGAAATTTTTCCAAACATCTCAAAATGAGTCCCTATTCCGCTCTGCTGTCCTCACGGCGTCCGCTATTGGCTTCACTGCCGCAGTCTTTGCTACAGATCTCGCAGCTGGTGGAATGACAGAACGTTCGATGCTAAACCAGAAGGCCGGGTAGCAGCACGTGTTAAACAGCTTCTCGGATCCTCGATGTGACAAGCCTCTCTTTGGCACCGAGCGAGACAGAGGAAAAACTAAAACGACGACGTGAAGGGGAACGGGGCGCGCGAAGCGAAAGGAGTGCACCTTAAGAAAGCCGACGCGAATGTAAATTTCATGCTGACATCGAGTGGATAACATTCTCCAATCAGCTTAGTCTAGTTATTGCAGCCTGGTAGAGCTATGGGCAGTAACCATCACGAGAAGGATGTCGAACTCCTTCTCCCCGTCGCGGCGACTCCTGTCCGAATCAAGACATCCAACGAGTCACCCAATTACCTGCGGATACTTACCGCCACTAAAAACGAGATCAAACCGCCAAGCGGCCCTACAGATTTGTCTTTTGACATTCGGTTCTTCGTCTTTCGTAGCGATTTGAGGTTCCGAAAAAAGAGAATAGAAAGCACAAACGATGACCTGGGCTGCTTCTAACGTGCCTCTTTCAAAATGCTCGTGTGAACACGCCAATATGAATGGCCACGACGGCGCGATGGTTTCAGTAATAGTGGGTTCGTCTGCAACAATTTACTGCTGATTAGTTGCCCGCGGTTGCAATATTGAAGCATTTTGAGAACGAAGCCCTAACAGCTGACGGGCAACCAGCGTGCCTACTTTTTTCATTTATTCTCGATCGACCTTTGATCTGATAACTTTTGCTCCTTAATCCCCTCTGAAAATAGCTACGTGATTCCGTCAAATACGCACACTCGGCCTCGTAGCAACTCAACTTTCCGATGCGTCTCTGCGGCTTTGTCGCCTTCAGCTTTTACCGTGAAGACACATTTTCGTAAAAATCCGTCCCTGCGTCCTTGGGGGCACGAGAAACCGCAACTGTCTTCACTAGCGTATCTGTTAACATCTTCTGGAGAGTCTTCCTTATCTTATGTAATAAGTAAAGAATAACTAGCTTTCAAAGTAAATACCATTGCACCGCCGAAATAAAGCTCAGTTTTATTCTGTAAAAACAACAATAATTTTTAAACAATTTCTAAGCACAGCATGCTGTACTCGATGTTCAGTGGACGTCAGATCATACTATGATATGATCAGCTTATAAATAGCAGCTTAAAAAATAAAAATAGATGAAGCTTATGTAAGAGCAGAATTAATAACTTCATACTCTCCAGAGAATTAATTAATTATTAAGTTAAAAAAACAGTTACAGCAGAGTTTGTCGTTTTGATTTGCAAACTATCCATTTCGTGTACTTCTTTTCTCTATCTTTATGCTGTCGCCCAGGCGAAAATTTTGTCGTCGTAAAAAAGAAGCTTTAGGGCCTTCCCCAAATATCGTTTTGTTTAAGAAAATAGTTTTGGTCTATTTAGAAACAATCGTGAATTAGATCCTCTGTAGCATGTTTACCACCATACAAAATTTAGCATCATGCCGAAATTCGGCTGTATTTTCACCTTAAACATAATAGTTTACTAGTTATACTGTTTATTTAAGCGAATAGCTCGTCTAAAGCTTGACACGCATCCTGCGGTCTGCAGGTATTTAGTGTTCCTGCTAAAGTTCCCGTTCGCGTTCCTCGTTTATCCCTATCATATAGTGTTTCTAGATAATGTGAATATATTACGTAGGCGCGCACCTAAGCATATATTTGTAGGTTAGCCGGCCGTATTTACCTATGACAAAATCAATCTTGTGATGTCGTCGTAGGTCGTCTTTAACGTCACTCACTGAAAAGAGCCGGTGCTAGCAGTATTGAGATATTCTATTGGGTGCAGTATTCACAGTCGATCCATATTGCGGTTAAAAGGTAGGGGACGATAACTCCCCGCAGTTCTGTCGAAAAATGAGGTCACACGTCGATATACGCTATCGAGAAAATCCGTTCAATATTTACTCGTCATTAATCTACACCTGTTTCGAATTTTTTACTTTTCTTACAAAGCTACTCACTTGAAGAGACATAATTTTTCTTTGAAGAAGCATTCCAATTAATTTACAACTTGGCATATTGCTTCGTACAGCTATTAAGAACCTGTTCGAGATGTCTTAAAAAAATCGAAAATATAAAAAAAAAATACTTTTATTTATATTCATAAATATTTTATAAAGGTAGCAAAAAGCTAATGAGGATGTCTGGTGATCAGGAAGTCCAACGTTGAGGTTAGAAGTTTCTGCTTAATTCGACACTGGCAATACGGTATTAGAGGCCTATTCAGGGTCGTATTGCAAAAATTCAGGTCTAGCAGGCATAGCTCTAATGAGAAGGGCAGTGCGTGCAAAAAACAATAATAAGCAACTTTTTATCTACATTTTGAAGCAGACCTTTAAGGGCAACTAATTAAATGTCCTAGCGGTTCTGCCAAAGGTTATGATCGTACGTCAGACATTATGGAATTTCCTCTCAGATGCGCATTACTCTAATGTATGTATCTCTGAAGCGGCGATAGCCTCCGTATGATAGCGATTTGCTTCTTGAAATCGTCCTACGTTTGGTAAAGACCAAGATTCGATATTGATTTCCGTCTTGTAGCTAGCCTCTTTATTGGACTCCACCTAACAGTATCCTAATACTTTTTCTAATTAAAGTTCTACTTTGAACGTAATTAGGTTTGACGTGGTCACCTTGTCACCTGCTGTTACAGTTCTTATTAAACCGTTGCGATTCCTTTGCCTTTTGCCGGTAATTCTCCTATTATTTTGGTACAATACTATCTATTGGTACTCAGAGGGGTCAATGACAACACCCTAGTTGTCTCGTGACTATATGATAATAGTTATCTCATTCATTCCTACAAACCAACTTGTTCGTTAATCCATTTTGTCTGGGTAAAACTGATCATCACTTTCGGAACATCATGTAAATATTTTATCGTTTTGAAAAACAACTAACGATATAGAAACACCAGTCTATCTACCGATTTTTGAATATTTTTTTTGGAAAAATATCATAATCGACTGATTCTATGGTAAAAACGTACAGTTCATTCGTTATAAACAAAGTGTCGACTCTTCTTCGAGCAAGGAAAGGCACCCTTTGTTTAGGTGCTTTACAATGTTCAATTATTGTTAAGTTAAAATCTAAAATAGAATTGACCTCGTTTATGCTGGATAGAAATAGGAACGATTTGTACTCTTCGATATAAAACCAATTTTCGTACGCATTACCTTTAGCCCCGTTAGAAAACTGTTCCTGAAACAATTATTCCTGGTAAACTCTGACATATACATATATATGTATATATTCAATTTGTGTGTTTCTAGAGAGTTAAGAATCGCCGACCAGGGGCGTACTTCTGTTTATCTATCTGTTTTGATAAGATCACTACGGAATAAAATTCATGTAAGTATGACTACGATGTTACCAATTGTTCTCGTAAACGTTAGGTACAGCTCGTACGTCACGGAAGCTAGACAGAAAATCTCTAAGGCCAATAGAGTCAGTTAATGTTATTTGCTCGTCGATTCTCTCAAGAAGTTAGCAACACCCCATCTTTGACTTCTCCACATTTAATGAAAAGTGTCTATTGTTGATTTAGAAATCAACCGCACAAACGATCGATGGCTTACGCATGATCACCCAGAGAATGTGCCTATTCTGCGTAAAACAGTGTTCCAGTCCAGGCTAATGTTTTGAGTGTCTAACATACTTTTCTTCTAAAAGCCAAACAATCTCCATATGTTTTCCAGAAACACAATGCACCTATTCAAGCAAGACGGTTCATACAAAATCAGCTGCTTGAGAACCTAGGCATGATGTGGCAGTAAATGTCTGTATAGTACTTCTGCTTCCGTTGCGGCTATTTTCAAGCGCAGAGAGCTATAGCACTTATTATAGAGAGCTATAGTCTTATTGCCAGCGACTTTTGATACGGGGTAGTAGAAAAACCGTCGGCAGCATCATAGAACAACAGAAAAAAAACACCCGCACAAAACCAAGTCACGTAAATATCGGTAACCGTTCTAGTAACCATGCTGATGGCGTTACTATACACATTAGCCGTCCATTATAAGCTATGCAATTAACGTTTCTTCTTATATATATGCACGTAGCAATAATATATTTTGTCCTGCGTCCTTATCGCCGCTGCTAACTTACAGCATTCCTCATCATCTGCACTGCAGATTTAAAAACTGGCTCCTAGCTACCCATTGTACAGTATCAGCCTGTTACGCGGCTACATAACAGGCTAACAAAATGCGGTGATTTTCGTTAATCATGTTAATTTTATGTTCCTAAACTAAAAGCAAGAAGTTTTCCGTTTATTTAATTATGCGTGGCAGTAGCAGGTGCTTGGCGGTGAATTCATAAAATACCTGCAATAGATATCCCAACGAGCATGATGGCTAATCCTTTAATTTTCACAAAAATTGTGTACAGCTCAATGCATGCAGTGTACGGGAAAAAAAATTTACTCCACACAATTTGTTCTTGTTTTACGAGTAAAATCGATCATAAGCTCGATGACGATATCCTATGGCAGCTATAGAGCAATATCCAGCAGCTGCAGAAGGATTCGCTTATTGAACGTAGCCAGGGAACAACTACATAGACCGAAACCCCTTCTTGCCAGAGGCGCGACGATTTCGCCGAGTGACACGGCACTCAACGAGCCCTTTTTATAGGCCATTGGTGAACGTGCTAAAAGGTGACTATGAGAGGATTATTTTCTCCCTGCGTGTTTATGAGTCACGAAGAAGACACTGCTATCCTACGGACGAAAATCGTAACACTCGTTGATCTTAGACTTGTATACGTACATATCCAATTCATATATCACGTGCTGAATTTCACTTGGAATTTTGCCCCCTGTAATTTACTCTACTGATGTTAAAAATTGATTAAGAGAAAAGATAAAATGAGTCTTAATGTAGTTTCTAAATTCACGAAACCGCGGTTTTCGTACATTATAGCCTTTCTTTTGTATTCCTCTTATTATATTGCATACAAAGAAATTGTCTATGTTCCACTGATCTTGCGTAGATATGAATGGATCCGCAAAGAATTTGGAGGATCTCCATTCTCCTATAATAAGCTCTATGAAGCCTATGTTTTACTCCAGCTTCTTCGAACATCCGTATTTTGAAACTAGCTTACAGTTAGGTTTACATTAGAAATAATGAAACAGATATTCCTCCAAGGAGATTCTATTGATGTCACATCGATCATTATAGCCTGAAGCAATTTTTGATAGTGACAAGCGTAGAAATGCTTATTTAGCTATCAAGATAAAATTCGCCTAACTGTAGTGCTGTTCTGTATAAAGACACTAAACAAAATTTATTACATTTCCTAAAGCTATCAACGACGTTAAAAAGATATATATAAAAGTTCAAACCTATTGATAGAACTATAGACCTTACCACATAAGGTTGCCTTTAAACTCCAAGCTTATCACTTTTCGTCGATATTTTATTGTGACGCCCACGTGTTTACGCTTTCCGATGAAATAAAGTTCCCTAGCCTCAACGATTTGTCAAAAGCTCGTTTTATGCTTATGTTAGGAAACTACAACGTAGTAACTGTGTCGCCTATCGACATATAATTGTACCCATCCGCGAGCTAAGTACTCCATCTAAAAATTAGGCATAATTCCTGTCCTAATTGTGTCACACCTTATTTTTTATTTTTTTTTTACTTGTTTTGATTTTTAATGACTCACTTATATCCCTCCTTTATTTGTACATTGTTAGCCTAATCCACTTACTCCGTCGGCGCTATCTAAAATTCTTTTGCTTTTTCTTAACATGTAGGTAATTTGACGTAGTGTTTTCTTTTTGCAAAAGGAGACTGTACGTAAATGAACGCATCTTTCCGATCGCTTCCCAGCAGTCAATCCATTTACGCATCTGATAATAATAAAAAGTACTTAATACTGAGGTGTATGCACGAGCTTAGTCGATGAATTGGCTAGTTTTAAATAGTGGCCCTCTATTATT